TATAGTGGTATATGAATGCATGATTCCGCGTCAACATACCGTCAGTCTTTTTTCTCTGCGCTCGTTTGTACGCTTCAATCTGATCCTCTATCGCGTCTCTGAAGTACACCAGCGCGACGAAACCAAACAACATATACCATCCATACGCAGCCATAAAACCTGTAAACATCCCAATGATCTCCTTCACAGAAGTGGGGGCCGCTTGTTTAACGTCTACGTCGTCCATGATGAGAGTGAATCGTATAACGTTCTCGGTGCACAACAACTGATCTCGCTAATAGAGATAGCTTTGAATTTATTATACATTTTTAACGTTAAGTTACAAGTATATTGACTGTAAATAGATACAAAATATGCAAAAGATTGGTGGGGGTTTTTTTAAAACAATAATATATATACTCTTCTTTTTTTTCTTCTATAATTTTATCTTTGTTTTCTCTACAAATCATAACTACTCATATTTACTCTCAGGCTTAATATCGCAAAAATAAATATATAAATATATATATGAATTTTTGAATTTTTGGGGTTTTTGTAAATAGCATATATAAAAACAAAAACAAAATAGGAGCGAAGATCGCTACATATATTTTGTTTTTTAAAATAAAAAAAGCAACAAGAGGAATGTCTTTATACGGCACTGGTGACAACATCATTATTAACCACCTCAGGCCCAGTTTCCTACCAGTCTAGTACATACTTTTCCGAGTCTTTTTCGAGTTTAATTTGCTTAAATATAGGTGCATTAATGCGAATAGCGTGATATCACTTCAAGCACTTGTGAGACGTGTTTGTTTTCTGCCGGTTTGTTTGTTATCTGTCGGCTGAAAGCGCTCGACTCAAATGTTAGATATTGTAGCGCGGATACAACCCATTTGTTGCACTTATGTTACGTCCTTGTCGGTCTTAAGGGCTTGACATATGTTAGCAGTTAGACACATGTATAGGCGTCCTCTGTCTTAGCTATTGCTTCGGATTCGCCCATGGTTTTACGGTTGACACTATTCGTGTCTAACATACGTCGACCTCTCCTCTGAAGCCGACAAAGAACTAATGCAACAAGTGCAATAAATGCGCTAAAATCACGCTAAATACATCTTTTAAAAGCAAATTAAACTCGAAAAAGTATGTATGAGACTGGTAGGGAACTGGGCCTGAGGTGGTTAATAATTTTATTGTCACCAGTGCCGTATATAGACATTCGACCTAAAAGAACAAAAAGGAATCCACGCGCCACTAATATTTCAGGAGGGGTTTTTATCAACCTAAAACTGAGTTGGAACTGATTCTACTAAAAAAACCTATGTTTATATTATGGTCATTTCGATTGGGCACTGCTGAGTTCGTGGTCCATGGTAGTAGAATGTGTGAATTAGATGAAGGATTGAAGGTGGGAACAATATGTGTGTTTAGAAATGGTAAATAAACAGCAGTGAATGTATTAAAAAGATAACACTGTATTAGACACAATTACAACACGCACGCGGGGATTGTCGTGCTCATAGTCGTAATTGGTAGCGATAATTTATACGCGCGTATACAAACAGTCGATGTTATAAATCTACTCTACAATCCTCCTTTTACTAAACCCACTAGATATACAAGATGGCTTACAGAGCACCGCCGAAGGTGATATCCAAGGCCATGAAACTCGCCGAAACGCCTAGATATTTGAAGCAAAAGGCTAAGGGCAGTAAACTAGTCAACGACAAAGTACTCAAAAATAACATGTTGCAGCAAAAGAAGGAACCACAACAGCTATACATGCCCAGTATATTCATGAAGTTAGTTCGCCCGGGACCAACCGCTAACGGAGTGCCCAGACCGAAGAATGTTGCACTGGTAGGTCAAAATTCATGACAACACGATTGTCCTTCGCCAAATATAATATAATATAGAACCGTTAGGTTTTAATATACTTCTATATATATATATAATGTATATATAGGTACCATGTATATATAGGTAT